TGAATCAGTCGTTGGATATACTTTGTGTGCGTTTCCATAGACAATAGGGAAATTCGATATTACTTTATATAGAAGATTTTAAGAGAGGCCCATGGTGTAGCAGTTAATGAATTGTGTAATGCTGCCTCGTCATTAAGAAGAATTGTCCGTATTGCATGGAAAGCAAACAACTTGTTTTTTCGTATTATAGAAACTTCGCTATTAGTTGAATATCGAAGTTGTAATTTTAACTCCACGTTATTCTGGAATAGAGCATTATTTGCTATGAGTTTAAAATTTTTCGGAGCTTCCCCACCAGAGATATGAGACGTTAAAAATGGCCGGCTTGGGGCCCAGAGCAAAGTTTGGAAGCTCCTGGAAAATTTTGCAAAATAGGTACAGTGTTCAAAACTATGTGATTATATTCTTCATGTAGGAGAAAACAAAGGGTAGAAACCACAGATCTGATACTTTCCCCCTCCCATTGGTTTCTGAAGGTCAAAAATAGCGTTTTTCCCAAAATCGATAGGTAAGTTTCAAGCTATATGACACAAACTCCGTCCTAGGTGCAACAATTTATTTTAGTTCGTCTTCCTTTTTTCTACACTACATGTTTCGGCCATAAATGACCATCATCAGGTGTATACTCTCACATAGCTGCTACACTGCACGTAGTTTAAAATTTAAAAAAACACCAGTCTTCCCAATTGTTCACTTCTCTGTTGCTAACAGGTTTCGATATATCAGAATCCTCCCCACTGATATCTGTCAGATATGTACAAAATCTTTGTTAACCTACACATGTAAATTTGATTTTCAAAAACTGGCACTTTTAAAATCTTTAATTCAAATTTAAAAATTTCTTTAATTTTTTTTTTTTTAATTTTAAAATTTAAAATTCTCAGGGGTATCCGCCCTATGTCTATAGTGCTGCAGCAGCTACTTCTTGTTTTCAGCACTGTTCAGGTATTATTCCATGTTGGCTCCCTGTGTGTGTGTGCCTCAGCTTATCTTTGATACATGTGCTATTATAACATTATACATTTTGACACGACATGTTTCGGCCCCAAATGGCCATCTTCAGGAATCTTGATATGTTACAAATATTTT